GGGTTCCTTATGACCTTAGGTTGCATTTAGATGTATGGACTTCAAATGATGGATTTGATTCGACTACTTGGATTAAATTGCTGGTATCTAATGTTTAAAGGAATATACAGAAAGACTTTTGATATGTTCTTTAAATGAATTGCGAGGTAAACTCTATGTTTACTGATTCTTTCTTTTCAGTTCTGTTCCTCTCTATCAGTTATTAGTGGACAAGAGAACGGAGCGGTAAACCCCATAGTTAAATGATTTTCGATATTTCCTTCCTTTCTCAAATAATCAGAATTATGTGTAGATCTTTTCACATAAAAAGTTAATACTTCTACAGTCCAACTAAGCAATTGACAGTAAAAATTCAAATTTAAACCCTCATTTTATATCCATATATATACTACCTTAATGTTTTTGGATTCTAAATTTAATAAAAAGTGGAGTACTTTCGTATTGCTTGGTTTGACTTGATTCTGTTCTTGGGTTCCTAATGAAATTTAATTTATTGGATTTAGGTGGTGTCTCTCACTTTTTCTTTTGGTCACATGTTGAGACAATTACGAGCTATCTGATTTTGGTGGTGTTGTAATTATGCAGTGACGTCGTTCGACGGAGGGACTTCTCTACAAGCAGTTTTTGTTGTGTTGTTTGATGTGGTTTTAGAAGTGAAGGACAAGACTACGGTGTTTAGACCCCTCCTTGGAGATCTCAAATCCACACTAGACTCCTTAAAACCATTAATCGAAGAGATTGCAAAGCATAACAAAGTATTAGATCGCCCAAAGGAGGAACTTGAAAATTTTAGAAATCAAATGGAAAAGGGTGTAGAGCTCATCCGCAAGTGCTCCAAGGTTCGTTTGTGGTCCAGCTGCAAACAGTATAAATACACCGACAAACTTATGGGATTGGATGAATCTCTTCAAAAAATGTTAAATACACTAAAAGCGCAGGTAGCAAGAGATGTCAAGGAGACATTGGTTTCAGTCAAAAATATAGAGGGGGTGATCAAGAAAATTGAAGGAAGTGGTCTGGTGCAAGATCAAATTCAAACTAATGGTTCAGGTGCATTACCTGAACCTTTATCGCCTAGAGTTGGATTGGATATAGTGAACATGCAAGGAACAAGGGATGTGAAAGAGGCATTGGTTTCAGCTAGGAATACAAAGGCGGTTGTTGATAAAATTGAAGGGAGTGGCGTGGTACAAAATCAAAGTGAGTGTCCAGTACTTGAACTTTCATTGCTTGCAGTTGGATTGAATATAAAAATTGAAGATGAAACTTTTTAGGTTGTGTTTTGTTTGAAGAAATGGACTGTACTCATTCCTATAAATTGACCATTCCAATTTTTTTGTTCACAAATAAGAATGGGAATCAATTTTTTTGCTCAAGCTTGGTTTCAATTTGTAAACCAAACAATGGATTGGATTCAATCATTACTTGATTGTTGATTCCATTCCATTACCATTCCTATTCTCAGTCTAATTGTATTCTATTTCTTACATATATGATTTGTGCATATTCTTTGCCATTCTTTAGGGACATCCGAAAATCATAGCAGGAATATAGATTCAAACGCGAGCGGGAGCACAGCGAGTGAATTTTCAGAGGCAGTAAGCCCAAGAATGGACGAGTCACGGACCGACGGGAAAATTTTGGAGACATCCAACTTAAGAGTTTTCAGTTTTGCAGAGTTGAAGGCTGGTACTAGGAATTTCAGCGTAGACACAATGGTTGGTGAGGGAGAATATGGGCGGGTTTTCAAAGGTTGGGTGTATGAGAAGACACTTGCACCTTCTAAGGCTGCTACTTGGAATTTCAGGCAGAACAGATTTGTTTTTGGTGAGCCAGAAGTTAGGCCCATTTTCAGAGGTCGGATGGATGAGCTTGCACCTTCTAAGGTTGGCATTGGATCACCAGTTGCTATCAAGAAATTGAACCCAGGAAGTGCAAAAGGTTTTCAAGATTGGCAGGTACTGTTTTCAACTCTAATACATTATTGAGCATTTTTCATTATCACCATTTATATGCAAAGAAAGCATCCATAATAATAAGATGATGTCATGAGTTGGCAAGTAATAGCCTCAGCTTATTACCATTATCATTTTTTTCAATTCCATGGGAATTCAGCATATGAAGATATGGATTACACTTAAAATGATCTGCCGTATTCCTATTGATTACAGAATTACTTGTTTAGAAAGTTGTTTTATAATTAATGAGGGAAAGAATGGTTCATTCATGAAAGATTTGAACCATGCATTGATTTAGTTAGCATTTAGGAGATCATGTGGCAATTAGTACGAGTCTATGTTGGGACTTCAAATTCATTTTCATCTTAAAACACCATTTTGTGTTGAGACCATTCAGCACTAAGATTAAAATGGTAATATGACATATAAAAGTAATTTGTTGGAGGTTGCATCATTCTTATTCTGATTTCTATCCTAGTTATACAATTCGGTGCGCAGGTTATGCTTAACTATTCTCTTCTTTCTACATATTTTCAGTATTACGTTTTCTTTTGAAGCTAACGAGTTTCTTGTATATTTGTAATGCAGTCAGTGGTGAACTTCTTAGGGAAGCTTTCTCATCCCAGCCTTGTCAAGCTATTAGGATACTGTTGGGAGGAAAATGATCTACTCCTTGTTTATGAGTTCATGCCAAGAGGAAGCTTGGAGAATTACATTTTCAGAAGTACGAAATCAATGATGAAAACAGGGAACTGAAAGTAACAGATTTTTTCTTGTTCACAATCACAAATTTATTTTGTTGACTCCAGAATTTTCATTTCGAATAGGGAGATCTAGCACTGAACCACTATCTTGGGACAGCAGACTCAAAATAGCTATTGGAGCAGCTCGAGGCTTAGCTTTCTTACACACTTCAGAAGTACAAATCATATACAGAGATTTCAAAACCTCAAATATATTGCTTGATGAGGTTTGTTCCTTTTTAACCCAACCTTTCTATCTCTCATTGTGCATTATGTGAGTCTACTTGTGCATGACTGATTATTCCTGTCTTTGGTTTTTACCCCTCTTCTGTATTTATCTTCTGCAGAATTATAACGCAAGAATCTCAGATTTTGGCGTGGCAGAATTGGGGCCAATTTTTGTAGAGTCGCATGTGTCAACTAGGGTTGTGGGCACATATGCTTATGCTGCTCCAGAGTATTTTGGAACAGGTAATGATATCTCTTTAAAAGATGGAGGCTATTTAGAAATTTTATGCATTGTGGCTTTGTTCTGACAAATTCACTAATTTAGATTCTTCGTAACCCCCTTTCTCATTTTACTAATACCAGGCCTTGAGCCTTGAGAGTTTGGCTTCAACTACCATAACCATTTACCTTATATGTTTCTACTGGGGGAAATCAATGAATGAGATATCTTTTGTACACAGATTTATCTAATTGGCATTCTGAAAAAAAAAAATTATATAAAAAGTGCATCTTTATCTTGAATCAGCTGCTATTTCTCACATGTGCACTATCATTAATTAACAGGTCATGTTACCACGAAGAGTAACGTGTATTGCTTCGGTGTTGTGCTGCTTGAAATTCTGACTGGGTTCCGGGCACTTGATAGGTGTCGCCCCATTGAACAGCAGAATCTGGTCGAATGGGCTAAACCACTTTTGTCTCATGAAACAAAGTTGAAAACCATCATGGATCCAGGGATTGAGGGACAATGTTCCTTAAAGGCAGCATTACAGACAGCACAGATTATTCTAAAATGCCTAAAACTAGATCCTAAAAGCCGACCTTCCATGAAAGAAGTCGTGGAAGCATTGGAACATGTTCAGGAAATTAAGGAATAACCCTAGCAATCCCTCCAAAGTGCTAATACTGGATCTACAGATATTATGTATGTACAGACGTTGAACAGTCGTCTTCTTTTTAGTTCTTTTTTCCATGTTGAATATTTAGGGCCCGTTCGGTAATGTTTTTAGGGCCTGTTTTCTGTTTTTGTTTCCTGTTTTTCACAAATACACGTTCGGTGCATTGTTTTCGTTTTCCCTCACAAAACATTTTCTGAAAACAAATCTGACTTTGTGAACAAAAGTTGAAAATGAAAAAAAGTTGTTTTCAGTAATTTCATTTTCAGTGTTTTCCGAAGACATGAGAATGCATCCCATCGACAACTCTAGCTCTCTCTCTTGACAACCGATAAACCCCCCAACATGAACAACACCCACCTTCTCCGACCCAGCAAACTAAGAAAAAAAATTACATAGGAAGAAGAAAAGAAAAGGAAAACAGATACAGAGGAAGAGAAAAGAAAAGAACAACACCCATCTTCTCCGACCCACATACCCAGCTCAACCACCATCATCACCTAATCGAACCACCACAACCATTAATTAGTGGAGAGAGAGAGAGAGAGAGAGAGAGAGAGAGAGAGAGAGAGATGGGTGGGTGGGTGTATAGGATTCATGCCATGGAAGCCTGGGAAGGAAAGGAAGAAGAAAAGGGGAAGAAAGAAGGAAAGAGGACAAAAAAGAGAAAAAAGAAACAGCATGCGAAGGAAAAGAGGAGGAAAGAGAGAAAAGGAGAAAAAGAGAAAAAAAAGAAAAGAAAGGAGATAAGATAGTTTTTTAGCTTTGATTTTTTTCATTGTTTATAATAATTTTAACCTCTAAAAATATCAGAATTAAAAAAAATTAGAACTGAAATTAGCAAAAATACACTAAAAAACAATTGTACTACCAGACATGTTTTCATTGTTTTTGTTTTCTAAAGATGTTTTCTAATTAATCTACCAGACGCATTTTCATTTCCTGAAAATGCAAATTTGTTTTCTTGTTTTCATTCTCTGAAAATATTCTCTGAAAACACTCTCTGAAAACGTTACCAGACGGGCCCTAATATATTTTGGGCAGCAACTGTTGGAATTCGTAACAAATTATGTTCTTGTAGTCACCATTTGTGCTGAATTGGAGGATTGTTTCTTAAACCACACTATCATCTTTTTGCCTCTTCTTTTTGTTTTCTTTTTTCTTTTTTCCTAACAATGGTTCAAGTTCAAGAAAGTTTTACATTTGGCATTGAACCATTGTGCCAAGTGGCATCCACAGAGCATCACGAACAATCATAGGCTATCTCAATCGGAACTTGTACGAAAGAATTTGTGGAGGCTTTGGAACAGGTTCTGTCAAGTCCAGGAAAAACACTAGCTATTTCCAGGATTATAGTCAATTACACATCTCAGATTTTATATAGAGACATTTAATTTAGAATAATTGACAGTCATCCTTTTTTTGCCTTTATATATGACATTGTGAAACTTATCGGCAAGTTTAGGAAGTTGAAACCCCTTCTCGATAACATCCAGTCACTGATTGAACCTCAGAGCGAAAATGTGTGTTTTAGTGACCAAATTGTAAGCCCTTTAGTAATCAGATTTGCGGTCCTTAAGGCCATCTTCAATGCAAGGACTCAAACTCAAAATATTGCCCCAAATCTCCCCCAACCCAACAAAATGAAGGACCCAAAATTTGGACCCAAATATGGGTCCAAGTATTGCCTGGATCCAAACCTTTCGTGGAGCCCACCTTCACCTCAAAACAGCCCCATGTGCAAAAGTTTCTGACGTGGCCCCCACCTCCAGATTTTGCAACTGCTTTTTGTCTCTCTTCCCGCCACTTGTTGATGTCCCATAGAGTAGCCGTTGGAATCCAACGGCTACATTTGAATAAATGTTGCTGTTTCTTTGTTTTTTTTTTTTTTTTGTATGTACATTTAATTTAAATCAACTATGGGGATTAAATCTATGCTATTTTAACGGTAAAAAAAAGATCCAACGGCTGAAATTTAAATCCAACGGTCAAAATAATATTTAAATTGTGTTTTTTTTAATGTTGTGTGTTTTTTTTATGTTGTGTGTCTACTTTTGGAATAAAATTAAATTTATGGAATTTAAATTTTTTTAGGTTAAATTGTTCAAAAAATTAAATTATGATGTTATTTAAAAAGATTGAATGAAGAAAAGTTATCCCTAAAAAAAAATTTAGAATTAAACCATTCTTAAACAATTTAATAAAGTTGCAGACTTAAAATTTGGGTCCGGAGGGTTGGGAGAAAAAACGATTTGAGTCCGGGCAAAACCCAAATAATCACTTTTTGGAGGGGGAAAATTTGGGTTTAGCCCCTCATGGGTTTGAGATGGTCTAATAGCTTCAGTCTCACAGTATTTGCATATGCTAGGATTGCAATTGTAGCTAGATTATAGTGGCCTCCCAGGAATAGCTTTTTTATGTTGTATTTGGACAAATATATTCAAGAACAATATCTTCTTTGTCCTTGTTTCCAAAAAGCCCAACTTGGAGCATATTGTACAACAACTATATCGACACAAGGAATACCAGGTACCTAATGACCTCCATCTTGAAGAAATTGCAATTCTCAGGCTGCAAAATTTTTTGAAGGAACCAGGACAAAATCCTGTACTATTGGTCCTAGATGATGTTTGGTCAGAATCCGTTCTTGACAAGTTTGATCAATTCAAAATGTCAAATTACAAGATTTTGGTGACATCAATATCTGAGTTTCCAAGATTTGGTTATGCATATCGTTTAAAACCGTTGAATGATGAAGATGCAATGACCCTATTTCATCATTCTGCTTCACTCGGAGATAAGAGCTCTTATGTTCCACAACCCCTTGCCAGACAGGTGATTTATTAAATGCAATGCATGGCATATCCTCATTCATATATTTGTATATGCTTGCATCCATTTTCTCTCTTTCATCAAACCATTCAGAACATTTAGAGAATCTAGAATTTGAGTCTCAATTCAAAAGTAATTGACTTTCATTGGGATAATTGAACTGCAAATAGTAGAACGCTGTAAGGGATTTCCACTTGCCATTACAACTATCGGAAGATCACTTTGCGAACAATCCATAGAGACTTGGACTAGAAGACTAAGGGTTTGGTGTGAAGATTCTTCTCTTCTTGATTCCGAAACCGATTTCCTTGGTTGCTTCCAAAGCAACTTAGATGCGTTGGGTAAAAAACGACCTAGCATCAGGGAATGTTTCATAGACCTTGGTTCATTTCCTGAAAATCAAAGAATCCATGTGGCTGACCTCATTGATATATGGACAGAGTTATATGAGCTAGATGAAGACACTCTACCCATTGCGAACCTCCACGAACTCACCAGTCTGAGTTTGGCTAATTATATAGTCACAAGGTAGTGGGGCTTCAATATTTTTCTTGTCACTCAGCCTTTTCCTTTTATATTCACGACTAGTTTCTGCTCATAACTACTATTATAATAAATATTCTGAAGAAATCTCTTGTAAGCAAAGAGTTTGGATTGTAACCAGGGAGGAGAAGATGAAGGTAGACGGCTACTACAGCGAACACTTTCTTACCCAGCACTATATGCTTAGACAGCTGGCTATCTATCGTGAGAGTCGGGATGCAATAGTACATCGAGAAAGGCTAATTCTGGACATATGTGGAAACACTCTTCCCAGTTGGTTGAAAGAACAGAAAGCTCAACCTGTCAAGGCTCGCCTATTATCTATATCAACAGGTTGCCCCCATAACTGCCCTCTCTCTTTCCTACATGCACAGGCACACACGAATGTCTCTCTACACTCACCTCAAATAGCATCTTGTTTGTAGATGGAATGTTCTCAACAAAATGGCCCAACATGCAACTGCCAGAAGTTGAAGTTCTAGTTTTGACATTTCAGACAAAGAACTATGCCTTGCCTGAATTTGTGGAGAAACTCGAAAAATTGAAGGCTCTGGTAGTGACATATTATGGTTCATATCCTGCTGAGTTAAGAAGGTTTCAGCTACTTGGTTCGCTACCAAATCTGAAGAGAATCATATTAGAGCGCATTTCAATACCTTCCATAAGCAAGATCCCCATAGTCTTGAAGAGTCTGCAAAAGATATCTTTTTTCAAGTGTAACATCGGTCAAGATTTCGTCCACTGTTCCATCAAACTTTCAGATGCATTGCCAAATCTAGCGGAAAAGAACATTGATTTTTGTAATGATCTGATGGAATTGCCGGACAAGCTATGTGGTCTTTTTCACCCGAAGAAACTCAGTATTACTAACTGTTGTAGGCTATCGACATTGCCCGTGGGGATTGGACAGCTGGGCAATTTACAGGTGTTAAGGCTATGGTCTTGCACAGACTTGTTGAAGTTGCCAGGGTCGATTAGGAAACTTAAAAGGTTAAACTTTCTAGACATATCTGATTGCTTCAGCATTATGGAGTTGCCTAAATACATTTGTGAAATGTGCAGTTTAAGAAAGCTCAACATTAGGCACTGCTCAAAACTGAAAGAGCTCCCTCAATCAGTTTCAAAGCTTGAGTAGCTAAAGGATGTGATATGTGATGAAGCGACTAAAAAGTTATGGCAACCGTTCTTATCCAGTTTCAGAAACATATGCATAAAGGTGAAGGCAATGTAGTTAATAAACTATTCACCGTCTTTACCCTAGACATTTTACAGCATTACACTTACAAGTGAATGTAGGCTGAAATATTGAAGGACGAAACACATTTCCTTTTGTGATTGCTATGATTATTTTACCTGGAAAGTTTTGCATGCATTATTTGTCACTCCCATAAATCCGTAAACAATCATATGATACCAATCTGAGAAGCAGTAGAACCTCATATTTGTTCAACAAGCAAATATGGGCCTTCCGATTTGTTCCAGCCAAAAACACACCCAAAAAAAAAAATTTCAAAAAACGAACGGAGGTAGTGCTTCTTGGAGCCACAGGCCCAGAGTGTTGAAAGCGTAGTGCGACTAGGGCTGCTGCAACTTTTGACTGAGTTTTGTGTGGTGGATATTGAAATTCATCGAGTCTCTCCATAATGGCGAGCCTCACGATTGTGCATCCCCATATAAAGACTCCATTGTTTGACCCCACAAAGAGAAAAAAGAGAGCTAACCATTGAAATATACACCTCATGGTTCTAGTCAATGGAAATTGGAAATAAACATAACATGCAGGGTGGTTGGTTGGTTCTACCCAATTTCTGATATGCAGGGTTGCAGCAGTAGGTGGGTTAATTAACGGTGGGATCGGTAGCTCCGGAAGTTTCCTAGAAATCAGCTATGCATAAAAATGCATTTGCTCAAGCCAATGGGAAAGTCAACAACAGGGTCCATCTCTGAAATTTCGTGCTTCTTCCCATTGAATTGAAGAGGAAGCTATTTAATCTCTTTATCTGAGAAAGTAGCATTTATGTGAGTGTATCTCACCGATTGAAGCGAAACGAATACAAGTAAATTTTCTGGTTTTGTGCTAAACAATCTTCTACAATGGCAGGAGCAGTGAAGATTGTTGCAGGGGCTGCTGTAGGAGAACTGTTTAGTGAGCTGTATAAAGTTGTTGAGGAATGGTTCTACAATGGCAAGACGATGATGTTTAAATCCCTCCTCAAATATCTCAACTCCAAGCTGGACTTTATGAAACCATTGATCGAAAACATTCAGATGAAAAGCACGTTGTTGGATTGTCCAAATGAGAAACTACAAAGTATTGAAGAACAAATGAGGAAGGGAATAAAGGTTGTTTGCAAGTGCTCCGAGGTCTCTATGCGGAACACCTACAAAAAGTATAAGTATGTCAATCAACTTCTTCATTTGGAAGAATGTCTAAACGAACTGTTAACCATATTGAAGGTGAGGACAGAAAGGGATTGGAAGGAGACCTTGAATGCGGGCAAGTATATTTCAGAGAGAATTGAGAATTTGCAAATCAAAGAGAATGATGTGTTGCCAAATCATTCGGAAATTGAAGTTTCAGTACCTGAACTTCCACTTGTTATAGTCGGACTATGTTTGTACCATATCTAACCCTCCACTCATTCAGTGACACGTGGATTAGTGAAACTCCCCAAGTGCCCAAGGCTCCGAACAATCGGTATCGGTTACCGATGATATTGCCTCAAAGCAGCGAACCGTCGAATACCGCCTAGCAGAGTCCACAATCGGTACCCTCTACCGATTCTGCAGAATCAACCTTGAAGGGCCCGCCCGAAATATCTAAGGACTCGTGTCAACCTCATAGGGCCCTCTCACGAGTCCCACATCGAAATTGAGTACTAAGGGTATGACTTTTCAGCTTGACTTTTATACTAAATATATTGTCAGCAGCAAAAGCTCTTAAAAAACAAACTTACTTTGGCATCGGAGGGTCTTAGGCTGGTTCCACACCGGTTCCATAGATCTTACGAGTCTCGGTTTCCTTCTATTCAGGATCAGCATCCAATGACAGGAAGAATCTGCGTCTAGCACTCAATCGATCTCTAGATCGTCCACATCACTTGTAAGTTGCACTCATCTCTATCTGTTCAGTTTTAGTGCCAACAGACTGGAAGTACCTTTGAGGGATTTGAAGAGGAAGCTCATTGACGAGGATGGGGTTTTAATGCTTGTGATCACTACTATCGAAGGATGCGGGAAAACCACTTTGGAAAAATAGTTTTGTGAAGATGAGCAAGTAAAAGGCAAGTATATACAATAATACAACTATAGGTGATATCAACTTACTTTGTTCTTTTAATTTAAATTTTACTTCCGAATTCTATTTTTTAGTATCAATTTTGTGCTGAAGATATCACTCAACAAGTTGAAGCTGTTATCTGTGAGAGTGAATATTGAGTATACCCTAATGCATATAGTGTAGCTGTAATAGAAATCAAAATTACTAATGCAAATGTTTCTTCAAGACAAAAAACTTGTAATGAGTGGCTGAATATTGTGTCTTATTGGTTTCAATATGGTTTAAGGCAAAATGGTTTCAAACATCAATCACCTTCTTTGTATACTAAACATAATATGGGGTTTGTTTGATTTTGGTTCAATTTAGGGGTTTTTTGTTTTGATTTGGGTTTAATCGGGCCCAACTTAACCACCTATTTAGGTGATGTGGGGTTTTATACAAAAGATCTCAATGTTATTAAGAGTGGAGCCATTTATTATATGGGACTTTCTATTTTGTTAAGTATCCGATGTGGGACTCTGTGTATTCTTCAGCAGGGGCAGCAAGAGCCTAGTTCAAAAAGTAGTAAGTAAGTCAATCTGTAGCAGCTTAGATGCATTGGGAGTGAGTCTGGATCACTTATGCTGATATATGGTTTATTCTTTCCTTTTAATAGTTACTTGTTAGAAATTATAGCCTATAGGAATACATTTGCCATATTCCATTGATAGTTATTACGTTGGAAGAGTAACCAGGCATTTAGTATAACTTCATGATTTGGAATATGTACTTCTTAAGACAATTGTACTCGTTTTTTATAGACAGCATATCCTAAGACTGCAACTGAGATCGATCAATTTTATGACTTCGCCATTATGTATGTGTCATTTTTTATAAATATTGTGCACGTCTCTTTCTTACTGAACTCTAGACAGATTTTAATAACCTCAAAGTGACAACTTTCTTATATTGTATTTGGATAGATAAGCTTTGTGTCGCCTTTGGCATCCTTTCACCTTCGGCACCCCTCTGCCTAAGCTCACCTTCGGCACCCCTCTGCCTAAGCTCACCTTCGGCACCCTCGTGCCTAAGCTCATTGTCGTGCAACATGCAAGCTTTGTGTTGCCTAAGCTCACCTTCGGCACCCCCGTGCCTAAGCTCATTACCTTGCAACATGCAAGCTTTGTGCAGCCTTCGACACCTCAGTGCCTAAGCTCACCTTCGAAAACCCCGTGCCTAAGCTCACCTTCGGCACCCCCGTGCCTAAGCTCATTGCCTTGCAACATGCAAGCTTTGTGCCGCCTTCGGCACCTCAGTGCCTAAGCTCACCTTCGGAAACCCCGTGCCTATGCTCATTGCCTTGCAACATGCAAGCTTTGTGCCGCCTTCGGCACCTCAGTGCCCAAGCTCACCTTCGGCACCCCCGTGCCTAAGCTTACCTTCGGCACCCCCGTGCCTAAGCTCACTTTCGGCACCCCCGTGCCTAAGCACATTGCCTTCCAACACGCAAGCTTTGTGTCGCTTTCGGAAACCCCATGCCTAAGCTCACCTTTGGCACCCTCATGCCTGAGCACATTTGTCTTGCGACATTCAAGCCTTATACCTTCAGCACCCCCAGCCCTTCATGCCCTTCGGTATCCTTGCATAACAAACTGAGAACTTGCAAAACCACTTGGGTTTTTGTTGCAAGTTCCCTCCTAGAGCTTGCCGAAGCACTCTAGGCTCAACCCAAGCCCACATGGCTCCTTGTTGAATGGCACGACACGTGCCTAGCCCAGACACACCCAAGCCCTGCTGAAGGTTCCTTCTCTTTCTTCCAGAGCCCAGCTCCAAATTATGCTAATATCCAAGGTACCTAGCCCCCTTCCGAAGGCTCAGATGGCTAACAACACTTTCTTGCCAAAGCTCAACCCTAGCCAAAGTCATATCTGGCCGAAGCTTAAGGCCCTAGGCCATGCCACTATGCCCTTACCGAAGCCCAACTAGGGCTCAGCCAATACCCACGCGGCCTAGCCCCAAGGTCTGCCGAAGCCCAAGGCAGCTTATGCCAGACCCAAACCACTCTCTTGCTAAGCCGCCGAAGCCTTCACGCTCCTTCGAGAGGCCACAAAAAATTTCAAATCACCCCTGCCGTTCGGCAGGATCTATTCCAGCTACATGGCACTTGCTGAACAAGTTTTGAAACCCCCTTTCCAATAGACCATGTTGAACCCTAGCCATTTCTCTCTCATTTTGTTCCTTGCCGAAGCCCAAAGCCCAGCCCCTTTCCGAACAAGCTCAAGCCCAAAGGTCCAGCTCCAACTATGGCTCAACTCCAAAACAAACTCCTAAGGCCAAGCTCCGTACACAAGCTTGGAGCGGCCAAGATTGAGTCCAACTTAGTGATGAGGTATGATGGGTGATGGGTGAAGGTGAAGGCCTTCAGCATGTGTGTGAAGATTTGGGCAAACGATAAATATACAGAAGACAAGATATACGTGGTTCACCCGAATGATGGGCTACGTCCACGGAGAAGATGTTCTCATTATGATCATGTTTGTTTACATTTGTACAAGGGGATTAGACCCAAAGATGAATGGAAGAAGGCCTAGGACCTAAGACACAAAGCTAGGAATCTGAAGCCCAGGGGTCAAGTCTGGTATCTATCACCTCTGGTTATCCCATGTCTCTTTTTATCAAATACATGCATATGAACACATGCACATGTAGATTTGAATAGTACTTTCACATTCTATTTCCCTGCAACATCCTACAACATATTTTGTTCGCAGAAGGAGTGTTCTCAACAGAATGGCACAACGTACAACTACCAAAAGCCGAGGTTATGATTTTGAATTTCCAGATGAAGAACTATGCCTTACCTGAATTTGTGGAGAAAATGGACAAATTAAAGACTCTAATCGTCTCAAATTATAATTACTTACCGGCTGAGTTAAGTAATTTTAAACTACTGGCTTCGTTATCAAATCCGAAGAGAATCAGATTAGAAGGAATTTCAATGTCTTCCATAACCAAGAACCCTATAAAATTGAAGAGTCTCCAGAAGCTATCTTTACACATGTGTAACATTGGTCAAGCTTTCAGCAATGGTACGATCCAAGTTTCAGATGTATTTCCAAACCTAGTGAAAATGAACATTGACAATTGCAATGATTTGGAGGATTTGCCTACCAAGATCTGTGATACTATTCACCTAAAGAAGCTCAGTGTCACCAACTGCCAAAAGCTATCTGCTTTGCCTAAAGACATTGGAAAGCTGCTCAATTTGGAAGTGTTGAGGCTAAGTTCGTGTACAAAGTTGTTAGAGTTTTCGAGCTCAATTAGGAACCTCAAAAATTTAGAATTACTTGACATATCTAATTGCTGCATCATTATGGAGTTGCCTAAAGACATTGGTGAGCTGTCCAATTTAAGAAAACTCAATATGAGACAGTGCCTAGGATTGCAGAGGATGCCTCCATCAATTTTGGATATTGACCAGTTAAACTCTGTGATATGTGATGAAGTGACCAAAAGGCTATGGGAACCCTTAAATTCCCTGAAAAACAAATGCATCACGGTGGTCAAAGGAGATATGGACTCGAGCAGTTCGCTCACCACCCTAAGTTCGAATAATCATGTGGCCACAAGGTATGGAGGCTTTGATGTTTATATGTTTGTGCCGAAATAAATCTCGTCCGAGGAAACTGGCCGAAGGAGACTAACCGAAGGAACTGCCTCTCGGCCCTAGCACCTACCCTCGGCCGAAAGTTACGAGTCATTATTCGTTCTCTTTTGGAAACAAAAGTAAGTTGGCACGGCAAGGTCATCATGGCCTCGGTAATACTAGCCGAGGATAAGCTCCTCTGATACACAGCGAAGATAGGAAAAGCTAAGCGGCGTCGCCACGTGGCGTCATGGTCCCACGCTTCATTTAATGAAGTAATGCCTCTGATCACAGCAGAAAGCCCATGATCCACGTAGGAGCATTTAATGAGCTAAGAAAGAGGGGACGTGATTGAAGTCAGATATGGCGAGTAAAATCAAGGATTAGGTGCGAAAATTCTATGACTTTGTAAGGCTAAGCCACCAACCATCAGACCAGGGCATTAAATGCTCCTCCAAGGCCCGAGACGCAGAGCCCACCATCAGGGCGGCGGCCGGGGTTTATGGGGGTCACACCACCATGCTTCACATTCTCAAATGTCGATTCGACTACCCACTAGCTCTGATCAACCTCACCATGCAGATTTTCCGCCCCATTGTCTTCTCAAGAACTTCCATATAAATACCAAGCTTCAACTACATTTGAAGGATTCAACACCAAACACAAGCCTCCCACGGAGCAAATTATATTTTCATGTTATTTACTTCTTGTCATTTATCTTCTTGTAATGCATTTTCAATATTTTTACTTGCTTTTCTAGGAGTAGTGGCAGTTTGTAGGAAAATCCATTCATAAATATATCATACGACCTTTGATTTTCAAGGCGCCGGAGCACCATTTTTGTTACTCTTTCGTTCATATCATATATCATACGACCGTCGCCACCCAGCGACGCGCCGAAGCACCACCTAAGAACCACTATCAGCACCACCATTAACGGCCTTATAGCTCAGGCCGTGAACCTGACGGCCGAGATCAGTTCCTCTCTCAGCCACAATCGCTCTGATTAGAAGTCAGATTTAAACAGGCGCAACTCATCTATTCACCCAACCACATCTCTCAAACGCACAGTAAACCGTACTGGCACGCCCGCGCACACCACCGCATAGCGCCAAAAGAAGGACGACTTGTCTCTCAAACGCACAGTAAACCGTGCTGGCACGCCCGCGCACACCACCGCATAGCGCCAAAAGAAGGACGACTTGTGTTGACGCATATCCCCTCGGCTCGGAACACCATGCCGCAAGATTTGCGAAGCCAACATTATCTCATCTATATTCAGATGGCGGACCTGTGCAGGCACAATGAGGTGCACCTGCACCTCCGGTCGCCGGAAAAGTCCATTAGAGAAGCTGGAGTTGCTCCTCTGCTTCAAAAAAGAGATGCACGCAACGTGTTCGATGAAATGCCCAAACCACCTGGGTTGGGCGCAACTCCTTTTGTTTTAAACATCCCCTGCCAAAACGACGTCGTTTTGGACCAGGGTTTTTTTTTTTAAAAAAGGAAACTGTTGCTGCTGCTGGGCCATTTTATTGGGCTTTCGAATTTGTATTATTCCTTACTTAATTGGGTTTCCAATTTCTATAATTCCTTACTTAATTGGGTTTTAAGTGTGAGTTATCTTTATTCAATTGGATTTTGGGAATTCCTTATTTAATTGGGATTTGAATTCTCTTTATAAAGGACCAATTTAACATTACCCAATTTCATCGAAGCGTGTGTGCATCACAAGAATCATACGTTTTTTTTTTCTTCTTCTTGAGTACGCCAATCCAAAGTAAGTCGAATGCATTTTTTTTGTTCTTGAGCAAATGCCAATTTTGTTTTTTCTTTTTTTTTCTTTCTTTTTTTAATACTTTTTTTATTTTTATTTAGCTCTCTCTGTATTAGTAAGATCAGTAGCAAACTCAAGGAGGAAGAGGCTACTTGACACGCTATTCGAGGTATAATTAATTTACTCTACCTTTTCCTTTATAATATGTTCAACCAAGAATCTATGTTTGAAGAAAGTTGGTTTTGATCATAACCAGGACGAGAAAGAGAGAGGTGATGGAAGAAGACATACTTCAGGCCAAGTTTCATGCAGAACTTAAGTCTGAAATAAAGGTAGTCAAGGCCGAGATGAAGAAAATTCACGCCGACATGAAGGCCTTGAAGGATGAGTTTAGTCTCGTGAAAAACAAACTTGATGTCATCATGGATTTGCTTGTCCACCTTAAACAAGTAATATTTTTTTTTTTTATCATATATTGTATTTCTGATAACATCATAGCAAAGCGTTATTTTTGTCATTCTATGATGTTGTTTTGGTAAGGCAAACAAGTTTCGATTTGAATAAAATGATTTAAAGTTGTTACTAAAATATGAAACCTAATATAGAATATTTGTTTGTGAGAATTTTTGGTATATTCTTCTCCTTGTAGAAAGATTATATTTATAATAGAACGGAACTTTAATGGGCAAGTAAATAATAAATTCATATTTCTATTTACAGTAAGAAATCATGAATTAAAGTAAATCAATTACACTTATAATAGGAATTCTTGGTGTGAAAGGAAAGTAAGTCAATAGTCCACAAGTCACGCCAAACTCCCCTTCACGCTGGTGCATAGATGTCGCCAATGCCCAACTGATCCAGTGAATTGTGGAATGCTTTACTAGAATTCGTCTTTGTCAAAATATCTGCCAATTAATCATTCGACTTTACGAAAGGAAACTAAATCACTTTAGTTCCGGGCTTCTGTTTGATATAGTGTCGATCTACCTTAACATGTTTGGTGCGATCATGTTAAACTGGATTCTGTGCAATAGCTATTGCAGCCTTGTTGTCACAAAAGATATTCATTACAGATGTAGGTTTATACCCAAGTTCAGTAAGCAAACTCTTTAACCAAATGAGTTCACAAATTTCTGAAAATCAAAGAATCCGTGTGGCTGACCTCATTGATATATGGACACAGTTATATGAGCTCGAAAACACGTAGAGCCGCACGGCTATACTATTTTTTTTTTCCCAAAAACTGTAGTAAAGACGTGCGGCTATACAGGTTTTTATATTAAAAAAGCCAGAGCGATTTTAAAAAGAAAGACCCGCCTAGCGGTTAGCCGGCCACGTGTGAAAACAGGTATCGCTAAAAGGCTATGCTAAATTTTTTTTTTTTTTTAAACTGTGGTCAGCCGCATGGCTATACTAATGTTTAAAAAAAAACAAATACGCGAGAATTCAGAAAAAAAAGGTAGCCCGCCTAGCGATTTTTAAAATAAAAAACCCGAGTATAGCCGTTCAGCTGTACTATTTTGAAAAATACCCGAACATATAGCCCGTGCCTATTGTTTAAAAGGAAATACCGTAGTATAGCTGGGCTGCTATACTATTAAAATATAGGGTTATTCGCAGCAATGGTCCCTCAAATATATCCCAAGTTACACTTTGGTCACTCAACTCAAATATTAGTTGCAGAGCTCACTCAATTAGGTGTTTTGTTGCACCGTTAGTCCTACCGTCAAGTCTGTTACTTTTTCTGTTTAAAATGATGATGTGGCAAGCATCTCTTAGATTATTGATGGGCAAATGTGACTTTTCAGTTAAGATTATTTGTAGCAATGGTCCCTCAACTATACTCAGAGTTACATTTTGGTCACTCAATTAGGTGTTGTGTTGCACCATTAGTCCCTACCGTTAGAGAGACTTAACTGTAGGACTAACGGTGCAACAAAACACCTAATTGAGTGACCTCTGCAACTAATATTTGAGTTGAGTGACCAAAGTGTAACTTGGGATATATTTGAGGGACCATTGCTGCGAATAATCATTGCTGCGAATAATCCTAAAATGTATTTAAAAAACCATAGTATAGCCACGCAGCTATACTATTTATAAATTAAAAAAAGGGACCCACCTATCGATTAAGTGACTGCGTGTCAAAAAAGTTTAGCCTTGTTGCTATACTATTTTTACTGTAGTAATGCCGCACGGCTATACTATATTTTTATTTTTCAGGAATCGCATCCAACATAAAGATACCCTATCCATCTATTTTTATGCTATTTATTTGGGCCTGCTGAAGATTGTCAAAAGGCCGAAATGGGTCGCAAATAGAACAGAGGCCCACAAGAAAAACTAAACGGCGCGAAAGAGATCGCACACAGCAATATCCAAAGAGAAACAATGAGAGAGAGACAGAGAGACAGAGAGACTTCCCAAATCCAATCCAAACAATCAAAACCAAATGATAGAGATAGAGGCCAGTTTACTTCAAACTGTATTTCTTTATATTTACTTTATAACAAAAACAATGTGCTAAGACTGGATCTACAGATATTGTGTGCAGACACTGAATTTAGAATGGTGTTGAACAATCATCTTCTTTTTGCTTCTTTTTCATTTCCATGTTGAATTTTTATAATCATCTTCTTTTTGGTAGGCAACAGAAACCCTTACGCATACCTTATTATAATCAGCTTCGTCATTAAGACGTTGAAATCCAAGCATTAATATTCAAACTAGCTTTGCTCACGCGGTAGCTCTTGGTGAGTTTCCTAGAAACCTCCTCGTGGCCTCCAATCCAACTGGGAAGGGAAATTTCGAGTAAGCTTCCGCAGTTCATGCTTATACAAATAGATGAATTCTGAGGCTAACCTTCACAAACAACACAAACGTTCATTTTTCTCTCAGTGAAGAAGAGTAGTGTTTTCTTTTGCTGTATCGGTAGGTTTGTTTCTTACTATCAGTCACTTTGTCTTTAAGTTTAGATCCGAGAGGCGGACGTAGCAATACAAGTTCTTTTTACTGATCTTTTTGGTGCTGGGTTTTTGTTACAGGTAATCAAAGATCATCAAAATCAAGATTCAAGAATGGTTTGTAAGCAAAACTAAAGTTAAATACAATAAACACATGAATTACAACATGAATAAAGAAAACTTATCGATTGATTCATACTCAGTGAAGAAGACATGACAACTATGGGAATGATCTTCTTCTCTCTGCAACACCAGAATGTTCTTGCTATCAATAGGTCAAGCACGCCACAGAACTTGTGTATTGTGAGAGGAGGGACCGATTCTTTTATATTAAAGAAACCTTAACACTATCTCTCCTATTATAGATAGAGTAAGAGTTTAAACAAAACTAATATACATAGCAGATCTCAAACAAAAACTGACAGAGGGTGAAGACCTCGTCAAGGACTTAAAGGAGGTTAGTGACTGGAGCTTGCTGACGCCTATTTACACTCACCGACTTGCTGAATTGGAAAAGTCTATTCAAAGACTGCTAGAGATACTGAAGGTGCAGGGAATAAGGGATGTCAAGGGGATTTCCCTTTTGGCAAAGGAACACACCAAACAACTTGAGGCCTGCAAAACGGACGTCGAGGGTACCTTGGTTCTGGCGAAGGATCACACTGAAAAACTTGATGATTGCAAAAGCGATGTCAAGGAGACCTTGGATTTGGCAAAGGATCACAAGGATCAACTTAACAACTGCAAAAGCGAAGTCAAGGAGACCTTGGATGAGACAAGGAAACACACTTCTTTACTTGATGATTGCAAAAGCGATGTCAAAGACATCTGGACTTTGACCACTAGAACCATGGATAAACTTGTTGAATGCGAAAACAATGCCAAGAAGATCACAGTTTGGGTAAGCAAAAGCGCTGACCAAATTACTGAATCGGCAACGGATGTGAAGGAGACCTTGTGTTTGACAAGGAAGATGGACACAGCGTTGGAACGAATGGAACGGTTTGGTGTCGGTGTGGCACAAGGTGACAGAGGTAACTTTCTTGGACATAACTTCGTAAAATTCTATATGGGCGTTATGACTATAGAAATAAACCTAAAAGCTGAGATTGAAACAAAATACTTGCTTTCCTAATATTTCTGGTGTTTGCTTGTTATTATTATAATTATTATGACAGTGGCGCGGTTGACGGAATGGGCTGCTCTCGGAAAAGCAGTACAAGCGCTGTCTGAGGATGTCAATCAAATGGTGTTGAAGCCTTCCCAATTTAAGTTGTTCTTTGAAGTGCTTAAAAGAAATATAGACCAGTTAAGCGAACACTGGAAGGAACCAGATGTTCACGAAGTAGGAGGGGCTATTCCATTCCAGGAACTTCAAAAGTTCAGAAAAAAAATAGAGGAGGGTACAGAGGTCGTTGTCGAGTGCTCAAATGCTGATCTAACCACCAAAAAAAAGGACAACTGCAACAAGAAACTTTTGAATTTGGTCAAATCTGTTCAGGAGCTTGTGGTCCGTTTGAAGGGAACCCCGTTTGGTGGGAACCCCATTTGAATGGAACCGGTTCGAAAGAAACGCTTTACAGTCGTCCCTAGATGTTATCTTGTTTTTTGAATAAAACAACTGTTGCTTGTAGAGGAAGAAAAACCATTGTTGCTTGATTTTTTTTTCTTAGTCGGACAACGACTGTTTAGATTTTTTCTTTGGTCGAACAACGCCTGTTTGCTAGCTTCTTTTTATCTTTTTCTTTTTTAAAAAAAATCAAGCAATAAGATGAGTGAGATTCGAAATTGGGTTGCAACTTGCAAGAGACTCTGAACTCTTTATTTTTATTTTTATTATTTTTATTTTGGTCTGCAAAAGCACCAGCCCCGTAACTGACATGAAAATAAAATAGGATTAACAAATACCAACACATAAGTATACGCGTAAGAGAAACCCTTACGCATACCTTTTTATAATCAACTTCAAAATCCAAACATAATAATATTCAAACTTAGTGGGTGGAAACGAGAAATTATAGAATATTGCGGTAGTATGATTACGTAATACATCTTGTATACATGTTATAATATAGGTGGAAGATGTTGTTTATTTTTTCTCCTTTTTTAGGGAATAGTATGAATAAATATTCGCTTATATTGTAACACGTATACAAATTGTACCACATTATCGTATCACTGTAGTATGAGCATATGCGCTATGATAAAGTTACATACAACGAAATAAATAATTAATCACCGTCAATTATGATGATAAAGCTATATATTGGCCCGCTGCTATCGAGTATCGACATCAAAGTTCAGACTCTGAATACAAGTCATCCAAATCATCGTCCATATCATGGTTGTCCGTCATGTAAGAGCTAAGACCAAGGGTTTCAGCTGCTGGTATAGTGGTTTCCGCAAAGGCTTTGCATGGGTTGATCAAGCTAAATAAAATTATGGTGATGTGTGAAGAAAAAAAATACTAAATAATTTATGAATTTTATCCATAATTTGTGTTTATTCTCTCCAAACAATTTCTATATATGCACTTGACAAGCAATAATAAGTTGTTGGACTATTTGTTAGACTATTTGCCATGATTTGCTTGACTTTTCTTCTCTATGCGCCACCTCATTAAAATTTCATATAAGACATCACATACAAAACCCAAATAGCTCACAATTTTTATTTTAGAAAAAAAAATATCTGAATTGAACTAACTTGAGTTAACGTGGTCTTCTTCCTGTTCTTTTTCAGCATCCCAGCACGCTCTCTCTTCTCCCAAATCCTCTATTTCAACCTCACAATCTCTCCTCTTCCCATATGAAATTCAGTTCTTGCTAATGCCCAAAATTTCATCCTGCAACTATATGGTACTACTTTCATATCATAAACCCCATATCTCAAGTATGAAATATGAATCAAAATCTCTGAACCAAAATAACAAATAGTGAGCACAATTGGATATATGCATCTATTTTTTCCTTGAACTTGAACATTATCTAGAAACAATGTTTCTTCTGGTAGCTCTTGGTGTGAGTTTCCCAGAAGAGAAATGCTAGCAACCTTCTCTCTAACCTTCTCATTTGGACCTTCTCCCCTTTTTACTTGGCATGTGTCATTCTCTCTACACTTAAAACAATGTCATTAATATATTATACAAGCTAATTTTTGCTTTCCAAGTTTACCCTTATTACATGTATTCAATTTATCCAAAAAAAATTCTCAACTTTCTTACCAATTAACCATTTTTTAACGTAAATGATTTTTTAAAGAAAATATCTGCTTTTTTTTTTCTTAAAAGAGGAAATGTCCCTTTTTTAAATTTACTTATAAAACACAAAGGGTTTAGATTTATATATA